CCATTCAAGCCCAAAGTGGTACGGCCTACTGGTTCATTGTCTTAATGGTGTGCTTTCTTTAAACCAATGGTGGGGGGGGGGGTCATTGGAAGCTGGCAATATTAAAGTACTAGAAGCCTGTATTTATTTTTTGTTCAGATTAACATTGCTTATATTTTTGTCACAGGAATTAAGGAATTATGGGGGATGAGGGTGATGCCCTTCCTAACAGTGCCTTGATGTGCTCTTTCTTTTTGGCCTATCACAGAAAGCTCCTAATGACTGCAGTAACTTTGACCGGGAATTCTTGAGCGAGAAGCCCCGCCTCTCACACAGCGACAAGAACCTGATTGACTCCATGGACCAGACTGCGTTTGACGGTTTCTCATTTGTCAACCCCAACATGGAATGTCTTCTGGAGTGACCACAACCCTCCTGCCATTTGGCATTCTGTCAAATAAGCACAGAAGGAATTATGGGTGACCAGTGTTAAATTTACAGCGGTTAAGGGTCTGTCAGTCTTTCTTGTGATCAAACTTTAAATTTATTACTTGTTTAATGTACTGTTTTGTGATTATATTAAACTTTGCACAGTCGCACATACAAAAACACATACCTGCTCCCTAAAAACAATTTACTAACCAATGTAGTTCACCAGGAGAAGATGCATTAATACATTACATTACAATACCCCATATGAACTGTGAGATCAAGACTTCGTTCTGGTTCTACCAGTGGTTGAAGCAAGAAAGGAGTATCACCTGGATGAAGACTCAGGCCATATAACTCAATAAGAATAATACATCTTTACCTCTCTGTCTTTCTTTTCTTCCAGTTGAATTTTGTAGCTCATTCCAGGAAAGACAGAAGCTTCATTGTTTATTACAAGAGTGTACATCATTCTGATCACACACACACACACACACACACACACACCCAGTTATACTCTGTACATGTAACTTGTTTTCATTCTATACATCTAAGTCACATTATTTATTTAAATTGTTTTCATAGGGTTGTCTACTTACATCTTTCCAAATTCTGACACTGTCCTATTTGCAATTACTAATAACTAGTATTACTAGTATATTTTTGCCCAGTTCCTATGATTTTCCTGTCTGGTTAGCCTGTAGCTTGTGTACATGAGTAAACACTTCGGTACACAAGAAAGGAAGAAGTTAGTGGAATTAAAGAAATGTCTAATTGTACAGATGTGAGATCCATTTTGCTGTTAATGTTTGGATCTGGTTTCCAGTCCTTATTTTTGTAATCGCTGTTACCATGGACTGTCAGTCTCTGCAGTTATGAAAATGAAAAAAAAGTACTTTTGTTAGAGCTAAAAAAAAAAAAAAAAAGGATGAAAATTATTACTTGAAGTTTGTCTGGGTTACGTGTTTATATGTGATATTAGAGTATAATATGCTGTATTGATTTGTCCAGCAGTATCTAGAACATAAACAGAAATTATTGTTCACAGGTGTTAGTCTCGTCTCATGTTCAGATCAAAAAACATACAAGCCAAAAACAGACTATGTTGTTGTGTTTGTCCTATTTTGGACTTTGTTGATTCCCTTCTCTTCAGCCACAGTTAGGGTTAATCTGAGTGGATCGGGGTCAGACTAATGCATCCCCAAGGCCATGTTTGGGCAGATGCCTGGGAACCACACAAAGCCCAAAGCAGTCATTTAAGGGTGAACCCTTCCCAAAAAAACAGACAGAAGATGGTGTCACAGACATGGCCTGCCCCATGGACGGGTACTTCAGAAACACGCCTGAATAGGGCCTGCATGGTTGTGTTATCATGAAAACATGAGTGTAAATGTGTGTAACATTACTTGAATATAGTTTTTAATGAGAAATAAAAACATGCTGTATATATGAATATATATTGCTTTAACAGAGACTGTTGGTGAGCTAAGCACATTGCCTCTTACAGTCTTCATCTTTTAAATCTGTTAATAAAATCAATAGCATCCTAATCTGCATGTCTGTGTTTAATCAAGAGAAACTTCTGCATGAGCAATTTCGGACAGTGTTTTCGTTTTCAGAGGTGGTTTAATGTTCCAGCATTTTCATAGATTGGTTTTGGTAGAATTGGCTGATCTTGAGCTACAGACCTCCTCATGGGATGATGCAGATGATTTCTACATGGTGAGGTGTGACTCCAGTCCGTGTTTTCATGGAGACAGGAAAGGAAAAAGGCTCCTAAAAGTCACCCAAACGACAAGAAACAACAAAGACTGAGACTGAGAGTATTAAGGTGGGATTAATGGGATCTAATCTTCGAGGCGGAAGAGCTAAGTGTAAAGAGTGGCAAACAGTAAATAAGAAACAGGAATGGTGAGGTTAGGACCTCTATTAACAGCTTGGATGAGCAAGACAGCATTTAAAGCCGTTAATACTACAAAGTGTTGACCTTCCAGGTGAACAATTACTTAATCTGTCAGTGTCACAAACACTACCCAGGTCTGGGATGATGACTCGTGGTCATGTCAACGATGTACAGAAAGAGTGACGCAGAAGCTCAAGGGTCAGAGGTCAAAGATTACAGGTGCACAGCTTGTTTTCACTGACAATGTTGCCCTCACAGTCCCAGTCAGGTAAACCCTTCATTAACTAATAAACAGAATTAGTGTCACACATTCAGAGTCAAGAAACATACTAAAGAGCATGTGATTTTTACATTACAATTAATATTTTGCTAAATTGATAGCAAGTATTTGGTACCTTTCATATAATGTTGATTATGTTCATGAATTAGGTTCATTTTATTATTTAATTATATTTTTTATATTTATTTATTATTTTATTATATTTTTACCTCTAATATTGTACTTGAATGAAAACTTGTAGGGTCTTTTTCATCTCCTTTCCACTGACGTCGCCTTGCCTTGTGCTCACATTGTCAGAGCATAAGACAGCCTCGTATGGAATGTTTTTAAGCAGAATGGGGAGGGGCACTTCTCAAGACTATCCAGACGAGTTACATAAAGGAAACATTTCCAAAGTGGACCATTATAGTATGTCTCACCGTGACCTCAGCACCCCAGGCAGCAATATCAGGCCACATTTGAATCTCACCAGCTGAAATCTACCTGAATGAATGAGAAATGCAACACCCTGGATCACCTGGTTGCCAAGAAGAAATAGGACTACCTCATGTAATCCAACCAGATATATGCTGTTACTTGTAAGAGTAACAGAGAAGTAATAGTTAAAAATCAAGGTATCACATGACAAACATTGGTTCATAGCTGGAGTAGTCCTAGCAAAGATAATGTGCTTCATTGTAGGCCATTTCCCAGCGGGTTCAGACTTGTGTAACTAATTCCTTTAAAACAGTTTTCGCAGCTGATTACAATCTTTGCTGCGTGTGGGTGCAGGTCCAGATGAAGGACATGAAACACAAAGATGTTCAGTTCAAATGTAGAAGCCATTCTTCGGCATGTGTCCCGAACCAAAAAAGGCAAAGCCAAAAAATCCCACAGCTGCTATCACTACCATCAGCAACATCAGACTTAGGGAAATAATCAAACAAGAAGCAACAGACTAAACTGGAGGAGAGGATGTGGAACTGGAGAGTTCGTGCCCTAAGAACAGTGAGGAGGCTTTAATGTGGAGCCTTCAGGGTAACTAAGAATGGGACCGACATGGAGAAATGTCAAATGGCTATGTAGGAAAAGGTTTGTCAGCAGTGTTTAGTATGGAATTCAAAAGTTAATAGGGTTAAGTAAGCAAACCGTCATCATTATTTTCATGCAGTTATCATCACAGTGAACATTCACAAGAATAGTAATTAGTAACTCTATGATTAAAAGCTAATCATAGGTTCAAAAAGGAGAAATGTTCTATTGTATATATTAATATGACAGATGAATGAATAAACTGGGACCTATAATAAAAAATGCCTGGTGACTACAGTTTACCTGTCATTCCTAGTGAGATGATGGGATAATGCAAAAATGGCAGCAAGAAAACATGACCACAAGATCAGGATTATCCATTCCCTTATCATACCCACTTGTCCTATTTAGGGTCAAAGGGGTTTAGAGCCTATTCCAAAAGCTATGGGTGCAGACCATGGAATAACCCAGGATGGGGTGCCAACCCATCACTGGGCACACACACCATTCACACCTATGGGCAATTTGGTAATGCCAATTTACTTTATCGTGTTTTTGGACTGTGGGGGTGGGTGGGTGAGAGCATGCAAACTCCACACATGAGTCACAGCAGGGACTTGAACCCTGGCCCAAATGCACGAGGTAACACACCACCACACTGCCCCACAGAAGAATATCATAGGAGGCAAAACATGACCACAGAAAAAAAATGTTATGCTCTGTGGGTTGTTGGGCAACATGGTGGTGAACCCTAACCTCCAGCATGTGTGTTTAGGTAAGTCATTATAAGACGGATGTATATATTACCTTCATTATCTTTACGACGGCCAAAACTGCATGTGCTAAGATCTCTTTTTTTCCTACTGCAGCTCAGAACTCCAACCGCTTTCCCACAGCAAACGCCATTGTACAACATATACTTTTAGCTGTATTTATTATATTTAACTGTAACATTTGCATTACATCCATGATATATCACAGACTTGTGCCCTATGCTGATACAGTCCCCATCCTGAGAGCCAGATGCTATGTAAGCTGCTTTTTAAAATGTCACGTCTGTTGTAAAAATAGGATTTTGTTTTATCAAGACATCTGTCAAAATTCAGCATGGTGTTGACCCCAGATGCCGGTTTTTATAGGTCGGGTTGGGAACATTTTACTCTCCTCGGCTTTGGACTGTCCCCTGCTGCCACACTGCGCGTCTAACACTGCCGAATTCAAATACCTCACAACCTTATTATCTGTAAAAAAAAAAAAGAATCTGTGAGGAATTTTGAAAAATGTACAATTAAAGACTAGATTCTGGTCTCTGGCGGCCCCTAGCGGTCTCATTTCCTTAAGACGGCCTTATTGTGGATATCGTCGCGATCAGTGACGCAATCTCCTTGCGACCGAACGAGCTGACACGCTGAGATGTATGCGGAAGTATTTGTCTCAATGGAGTTGCGAGTTGCGACTTCTGAGCGGCACTATAGCCAATCGAACTCTTACTTCCTGTTTTTGTCGCGTTGTTTAGTGACGTTTTAGTCTTGTAGAACGTCAGATTCACAATGAGCGCTCAGGATGTGCTTAATAGCGCTACAACTTTGGCTTCATACAATGTACTGCTTCAGGTAAATACTTTTCTTCTGTCATATGTATTTGACAGTGCAGTTCATTTCAGGTCTGCTTTGCTGATCTGTTGGTTACCCAAAGGACTTTTTGATATATAACAACGTTTAATGTCATTGCGTTTTGTGTGGACAGGTGACGTTTCGTGTCCTCACCTTCCTGCTAAATGCCTTCACTCTTCGCTTCGTGTCGAAAGAACTGATTGGTGTGGTCAATGTCAGGTGAGCTCATCTCTGGGTGACTGACGTGCGAAAACGAGGATTTCTGGCAACTTACTTTGGAATATTCCATGTTAGAGAATTATGCTTTAGATATGGCATCTTAGGAACTTGCTTTCTTAACTTTCCTACAAGTGATGCAGATAAATGAAATTGCAGATTGTCACTCCCACCCCCAGAACGTTTTAAATCACTTCCTCTACTCCTGTATTTGAATGCATGAAGTGAAGGATGATTTTTGTTATTGTCTCTATGTGAAGGCTGACCCTGCTGTACACCACAGTGGTTTTCCTCTCCAGAGAGGCATTCCGCAGAGCTTGTCTTAGCGGCAAGACGGAGCACAACTGGAAACAAATCATCAACCTGCTGTGGCTGACGTGAGCACTACTTCTGGTTCACGAATCATCACTCTTGAGGCTGCTGACATTCAGTGTTGGGGAAGTTACTCAACAAAAAGTAATCCATTACAGACAGAGGTGAAAAGTTCAGGTCCAGAAAGTACAAATTCAGACCAAGGTTTTGTTCCAACCAAACAGTTGAGTACTATGTAACTGTGACTTTATACTCAACTGGTTGGTTACTTTCCCAACACTGCTGACATTAATACTGTTGGGGTGAAACACCTTTGTACCCAAGCCTTGTAATACACTGTGTGCATAGTTTTGTATTTATTTGCACTGTATTATACTGTTTTTCTGGTGGTACACTGATAAGCATCCTTTCTACAATGACCTCCTTACAGCAGTGTCTGTTTATTTAAACTCCATGCCTACCTACACTGGCCCATCCCTTTCTCTTTCTCAGGGTGCCACTGGGCTTGCTCTGGGCATTTGCTCTGGGCAGTGTTTGGCTGTACCTGCTGGAGGCCCCCGACCCCCTGACTGTGCCGCACTATGGCCCCGCTGTCGCCCTCTTTGGCCTGTCCGCCATTCAGGAGCTGCTGTGTGAACCACTGTGGGTGCTGGCTCAGGCCCACATGTTTGTCCGTCTGAAGGTGACAGACGTGGCGTGCTCAGTGCTAGCGTGTACCACCACTCAAACTGTGCATTTCTGTGGTGCTCCTTGTTGGCTACAAACTGTTGCTACAATAAATATTTAATAAACTTGTTTTTTAGGAGATGCTGAAGCCGCATGTTCTGCTAACCAGCTAGCTAGCTATGATCTTCTAACTATATTCACTAGCAATTCATTTAGTTTTTGAAACATCTGAAGTGGGCCCCAAAATGACTTTTTGAGCGGGCTACAACAACAAACCTGCCTCTGGGCATACTGTGGGAAATCACTGGTGTTTACAGTGCTCATAGTGCTTAGTTTACTTTGTGTGATTGTATCACATGGTGTCTCTGTACTGTTATGCAGAAGTGTGTGCGTCAGTCTGATTGTATCTTGTTGTTTGTGCCTGATTGTGTCACATTGTGCGTATTTGTGTCTGGTGGGCTCGATTTCACATCTCCAGTCTTTGTTGTTTTTGTAGGTGGTTGCAGAGAGTTTGGCGATGGTGGCCAGATGTCTTCTGACAGTTTTGCTGGTGGTCTCAGCGCCACAGCTGGGACTGTATGTCTTCTGCACAGCACAGGTGCGTGGGGTGAGGGTTCTGGCTCGAGAGAGAGAGCTCGCCTTACTTAAGGACACCAGGCGTCCATGTGAGGACTAACCCCTGTATTAGCTTGAATTTTGCGTGTGAGTTCACGTTGTACCTGTTATGTCAGACTGGTGCAGCTTGAATTGAATTACAAATACAGTTATGTGTGATTGCCAGATACTGTGTGCCCCCTGTGATGGAGCTTATGGTGTCTACATGTTCTGAGGGATGATCTTTCCACAGCTGCTCTACACGGGTTGCCTCGTCCTCTGCTACGCTGCCTACTTCTTGCATTTCCTGGGCTCACCAGCAGCGAAAAGGATGACATTCCCCTTCCACAGCGTTGGAGATCTGCTACCTTCCGTGGGGAATGGAGAGGTGCGGGTGTTGGGTGCCCTTACATCTCGACCTTGATGCCCTGATCCTGGATCAGTCCTAACCTGCCACTTGGTCCCAACCCCGAATGCTAATGCAGTTTAGCAATCTAGCCTCTAGTCCATGCTGTGACGTATGTGGTCACAAATGCCATATTTCGTTTTTTTTTTTTTTATTTGTTACTTCCTGAAGAAATTCAGCTGAAGTACAGAGGGCAACCTTCAACAGCTGTATGCCTGCCCCAGTGCAACGTTTGACCTTGATCCCAGATATGACCACCTGTCCTTAATTCCCAGCAGCCAGTGGTAAACTGGAAACTGGCCAGACTCACGTGGAGCTTCTTCAAGCAGTCCTTCTTGAAGCAGATTCTGACCGAGGGTGAGGAGCTTCCAAACAATTGTATTGATGACATTTCGTCTTCTCTTCCTGCTGTAGATTTGATCTTTCTACTGCCACACAGTGAACCTTAGGACTATGGATTGTGTTGAAACTGCGGTTAAATTTTAGATACAGAACTGTCAGATAACGTCTACTACCAGTGCTGAGTGCCAAACTGACTCCCATCTCTGCATCCACAATTCAACCACAGGTTACACACAATCCATAGTCTTAAAGTCACTTTAAATCTGATTTAACTCGTCTTACGCATTTGGCCTGATGTGGTGGTTTTATCTCAGGCATCACACCTGGCTGTTACTCTTTCACACGTTTCTGTGGTTCTTTTAAATTAAAAAAATCATTTTTGTGGTTATTTTTTGGGGGAAATTGGCCGATTCATGTGTGAGTTCTGTTATTGCTCATCAGCCATTTGTCTGTTTCAGGTGAACGTTATGTGATGACCTTCTTAAATGTGCTGAACTTTGGAGACCAGGGTACGTTACTGATCCAGGAATCACATTTATGAAATTGTGAGATGAAAAGAGTGCTCAGATATTTCAGAGGAAATGCCAGGTCGAGGGTCACAGGCATCTACTTAAATGCAACGAGACCTTAGAGGAGGAGCAGCGGCCCCCTTTGCCCTCTAACCAAAAACAAAGAATCCAGAAACACTCTTCTCTCAGCATTCTCTCCTCATTTTAAAGCAGTTTTCACGCAGATCTGAAAAACATGACAAAGGGCTGTTCTAATGACCAGGAGAGATCACTGTACACTGTCAGTCTCAGCCAGGCTTAATACTATAGAAACCAATGCAGTAACTAGCATTTGGTGATTGATGTTGCATGATAATCACAACTACAGTGTGACCTCTGAGGTTCCCTGTACAGTCTTGTATGCCCGCACCTGTTCCTTTATTCTTACCCCCATTCTGTTACCCTCTATCTACCTACCCCTCTAGGCATTTATGACATTGTGAACAACCTGGGCTCCATGGTGGCCCGTTTTGTGTTCCTGCCCATCGAGGAAAGCTTCTACGTCTTTTTCGCCAAGGTCCTGGAACGTGGGCAAGAGATCAGGCAGCAGAGAAATGTCAGTGCGGTTTCCATCAGGTCCCGTCATCTTCTCTCCTGACCAAAATGACATGTCTTAGATGAGGAGTATCCACATCGTTGTTCTGTGTCAAATTCTTGTACTTCAAAAATATGTTGTTCATTCTGTCATGCAGCTTTGGAAAAAAATACGAGACGACAGCAATATTTTCAGTTTCACTCATTTCTCAATTCATGTGTATGTCTGTGTAAAATATAAATTCTCTAAAATCTAGCCAAGCTCTTCCCTGTTTCTCATTAATGAAGGGCTTCTTCCTTGCTTTATGGGTCTTCAATCCTGATCTAGGATCCTGTTGTGAATTGTCCTAGCAGTGCATTTCACACCACTTAATGTTTCCCATTCTTTTTGAAGGTCAGTTGAGGTCATCCTCTGATTTTATGAGGCACTCCTAGATAAGTTGACAGTCATCGCTGGCATTAGAAAGTTGCTTCCTCCCTTTGCCTGGCTGGTTTCTGGTCATTCCCAGTGTCTCCTGCTTCACCTTATCCGTGTGTACTGCTGTCTTAGAGACACTGAGTACAGCCTTCTGTCAGCAGAACCAGGATTAAACCAGGATTTAAAAATGCCTATTTAAAAAAATATATAGAGCGGTGTCTCAACTTTTTCCAGAGCTGTGTGTGATATGTTTTATGGTGCCCATATTAAAGTATAAAAGTTTTGGCTTATGAGCTAGAGTTACTTTAAGGAACTGTGGAGTAGAGTTGTAGTTAGTCTGTAATTTGAATTTGATTTTTCTGTTTGCATTGCAGGATGATGTTGCCATGGCAGCAGAAGTGTTGGAGTGCCTGCTGAAGCTGGTGATGGTCATCGGACTGATCATCACCGTTTTTGGGTACTCATACTCCAACCTGGCTCTGGACATCTACGGTGGTTCTCTGCTAAGCAGTGGGACCGGTAGGGACAACGTCTGTCCATTTGGCCATCTTCATGGGATGTGGGTGACAGACGATGGCCAGGTGTGATGGGGGGGTGAGGCAGACACTGACGCTGTTGTCCCACGCAGGTCCCAGCTTGCTGAGATGCTACTGTGGCTACGTGCTCCTGCTGGCTGTGAACGGCGTGACAGAGTGTTTCACCTTCGCTGTGATGAGCAGGGAGGAGGTTGACAGGTCAGGGCTGGAGGACAAGAGCCCAGGCAGATCTGCACTCAGCCTGACACCCCTACTATACATGACATCCTGGCATGGACAGGCCACCTAGATGTTGAATGAGTATGCTGACAGTTTGTAATGATCTCCATGTACATGCAGGTACAACATGATGATGCTGGCCCTGTCAGTGTCCTTCCTGGTGTTATCCTACTTCCTGACATGGTTCCTTGGTAGCGTGGGCTTCATCCTGGCCAACTGCCTCAACATGGGCCTTCGCATCACCCACAGCCTGCTCTACATCTCCCATTATTTCCGGGACAGCCCTTGGGAGCCCCTGCGAGGCCTGCTCCCCTCCCCCGCCCTGCTGCTTGCCCTGGGTCTCAGTGCGGCCCTCACCATCTTCTCAGAGGTATGTTTGGAGTTCACACCATGTCCCCATGGAAACCAGATCTAAGGATTCACTTTTAATTGGAGAGGTTGGCTTTTGCTCTCACCGGGGAGGCAGAACCCACCATGCATCAGTCCTGTTCTTTAGCAATATCTGTATCTGGGAAAAGAGTGTCATCAGTGGTACAAAGACTAATCTTATGAAATGGTCTATTGGCACTATAACACAAGCACTCTCTCATAGGAAGATGTGTAATTGTGGGAATAATGAGTAATGTGCTACCTTAGCATCCATCTGTATTCTTGTTGTTACTGAATTATAAGGGGGATTGAAGTTTGTCCCAAGCAGCATAGGGCACAAGACAGGAGTATATTTCAGAATTTCAGTCCATTGCATGGCACACACCGTGGACAGTTTCACCTAATTACTCACCTAATTGTTTTAGAATAGTGTTTCCCAACCCAGTTCTCAGGGACCCCCAGTCGGTCCACGTTTTTCTCCCACCCAAACGGTTCACGTTTTTGCCCCCTCCCAGTCGGTCCACGTTTTTGCCCCCTCCCAGTCGGTCCACGTTTTTTCCCCCTCCCAGTCGGTCCACGTTTTTGCCCCCTCCCAGTCGGTCCACGTTTTTGCTCCCTCCCTTTTGTACCAAGAGTATTCCTATTAGTAAATCGCCTAATTGAGGTGTACAGACTGCACACTAGAGGACTGGCAGCTGACAAGTTCAGGCATCTGGATGTCCAGCTCTTCATGTCTGTGTTTACTTTGTTCCAGGTTACCCTGTGCTGTGACGGTGGCTGGGTGCTCAGGCTGGCACATGTGGCAGTCGGCGGGGTCTGTCTCCTTGCTGTGCTGACCACCATTCTCCTAGCCGAGACGCGGCTCGTCCGCTTCATCCGCACACGGCTGCTGACCCGCCGCTCTGGGAAAGAGTCCTAGAGGAACCTATAGAGGGCACTCTGGGTGAACCTACATACCAGACTGGGCTAAACATGGCTCTGTTGTGAGGTGTCTGGGTTGAGGAAAAGGTCTGGATTCACATGTGCTGCGAGTTCTGTGCTATGGCACCAGCGGGCCAAGATTGTTTAAGGTGCCACCATTGGATGTTTGCTTAAATTGGCAGAATGTCATCCTGCCTCTGTCCCCCTATAATCTTCTTGCACATTGGGACACCGTTGGCCAGTGTTTAGAAAGACAACCCAAGAAGTGCTTTTGGCTTAAAGGGAGAGTACTTTTTCATTTCTAGCCAGCAAACGTAATCAACACCATCCCGATGACAGTGATTGGTGGACAATGTACAACAGCAACACAGAATTAAAACTAAAAAGGACCAGAATTGGCATTAAATGTCCAGTGGTTGTGGCTGTTTAAAGACACTGATTATTTAAATGCAGCTGCGTTTGAGAGATTTAGAAACACATGCAGTAATATGCTTGTGAATAAAAGTTATAATCTAAATACGTATTGTATTTATATCAGTAAATAAGTCTCATATTTACATCAGTAAATACAGTAGATGCATATTATAGCACCTGTTCAACATAGAAATGGCAGGTGTGGAATTACACGTTTAATTTTTTGTGTTGTGTGTCTGCTTAAGTCATCCAGCTAACTGAGAAATCCTGCTTCATAGAATAGTCCCCTGTACTAGATAAGCTAGAAGATGGACGGAAGGAGTTCTGGCTTTATGGTTGCCCAGCAGGTGGGGCTATAGTCGGATCATATAGTATATGTTAATTAATTTCATACACATGCTTACGGAGCAGGTAGGGGATGAGAGGGGCAATGGCCCAATATTAAGTTCATAGGGGGCATCCAGTTTATACCATTCGTTTGGGTTTGACGCACAGGGAAGTACAACGGTTCGCGAACTGGCCTAAGGCTGTTGCAGTGGCAGAGAAACCTCCCCCAAGTACCGTCGTTTTTTAGTGTGTTTGTTTTTGGGTTTCTACTTTAACTCTTCTCTGTTCCAGGTCACAGTTCTTTGCCCTGTTTTGACAAATAATAGATGTGACTAAGCCTAAACCTTGTGCTGGATAATTAAGCGGTTGTTATATGGATGTAATAGAATAGATGAGGTTGTCTTCATTTTTCATATGCTCTTTTTCTTTCAAAATAAGTTAATGTACATATAAACATTGTACCACACATTTTTTTATCGTTAGGAGATATCAGTTCGTCCGAAAATCTGCTCAAAGTTTTCGGCAGACGTGTGTCAACCTCGTAGTTAAAAACGAATCGTACATATGCCGTATTTCTGGACTGAAGCTAAGCTTGTGTGGAATTAGGATACCAAATTAAGGGTTATAATATAAAATAAAAAAATACGTTACTATTTAAAAAGCACATTAATGGTGCCAGTGTATTGTTTTGATGCCTTTGTAATGAATTTGTTGAGACTGATTATATTAACTAGGCTTTCCCATGTCACGCAGCAGCCTAACTATGGCGATGCAGGCACGTAGCCACGTAGTAAAATAACGCGTTTGACGCCACCCCCGTATTTTTTGTTACTTATCAGACACGTAATCTGGAGGTAAAATTACGTGTTTGATACACTCGAAATTTGCGTTCACCCACCCTGTCGACGAAGTCTAGGGAGGCAATCCCCCAGTCCCCCTAATTCGACAGAGGGGGGTCCCCCCGGTAGAAATAAAGTCCCGGACGGGACCCTCCCCCCTGAAACGGAGAAATATCATATAGAGTTAATGCATCAAAAATCCTTTGTGGTAACCGTTTATATGAACTCTATTCAATTATTTTCAAAGCAGGTTGTTTCGGAGATAGAATAAGCTGCACAATGGGACACTGTCTTCTGTTAGATGAAATTCTTATTTTTAAGTAGTGAAACGCCAAATGCTTTTTCTGGAGCCATGTAAGGTTGTTGGTCAGAAAAGCTTTGAGGTTCATCAGCCTACTTTATTACCCAAATTAACACGTTCAGTGGTTAACAAGCTTAGTAACGTCTGGATAACTATGTGCAGGGCGGCGTTTATTATTTAAGCATTTATTCAGCTGACTAATAAATGCTATCGAATAAATCATTCACAGTGACTGCGTTCTTCTTAAACGTGTCAAGGACTGAAATAGTCCATATAATTATTTAGCATTATGATCATTTAATTACGTAATAATCGGCCTACATTATTTTTCAGTTTTGTGTTTTGGCACTTATAATTGCATAAAATGTATCTGGCCTGTAGCCTTACTAAATTTTTTCGTTGTTCTGTGTAAATAACTTGGTTTGAAAATCGTTGTAAGCTATTTTATATGCATTAGGCCCACAAAAGAACACTGAATACACAGTAGCCAAAAGTGGTAACTTTACCGTATTAGGATCGCCTATCTGCATTTTCATTTAACGTTAACCACCGATTAATGATTTGTGTTCTGTATCTATCATCCATCATTATTTATAGTAGCATACAAACCTCGGCGCGTTTCTATTGCAGCATAAAAACCTCGGCACGTGCTATTTCATTTTACACAGTAACATAATGATATTTGATTCATATTAGCAATATGTTCTTTTGTTGTTTTTTTTTCTTCAAACCCATCCAGATGGGCAATTTACATTTACTGCAATCTAGGAACGTTTATAGGATACGGTCGATTTATCTAAGGCGTAAAAGAAGAATAAGCAGACAATACCGATAGGGAGTAACGCGTCTTCATCTACAGTAATTATATAAAAAACGTCGGATTTTATTCACTGTAATACATGGTGTTTGTCGCTACACTTGATATAAACATTTTGCTTTTATATTACTTGTAATAATTACATTTAAATGGCAATATGCCATTTGGTTTCCATAGAAGTCAGGTTATTCGTATCATTTAATTCGTCTTCATGGAATACCTATTATGTAGCCTAGCTATTACTGAAACTGTGCCAGGACATGCTGGACCTGCGTGCCGGACACGAATACATTCACCGAGAGCTTTTTTCGAGCCCCAGTCGCTTTGTCAGTATCTGACAGTTTTCAGGTTCATAATCGAGAAAGCGTGCACAACGGTTAAGTTTGTTGTCTAACTTCTTGTTCGCCGTTATGGACAAGACTGTAAATTGATAATAATATGGAACATAGTCTATAGACTATCACTGCCTGTAATTTCTGAGCCTTAATCATAACTATAACAATGAAGTAGGGCGCCGTGGTTGTTTTATATCATTTAAAGACATTATTTTCTCGGTAGTCAGGGTATCGGAATGAGTCTCTAAATAAAGCGGAATAAAGTACATAACGTATCTCAAGGTCCGCCTTCGCCTCGCAAGGCACCACACAAAGAAGTGCGATTTTTTTTACTCCCTTAAATTATGTATCTTAAGCAAAATACTGCCTTATTGACTATATCTATACACGAATAAAAGCGGAAAGTCCAGTTATTTTATGAAAAGCCAAATAATTTCACGTTTCTTGAAAACCCGGTAAAAAAGTGGTCGTGCGTTCAGGCGGCTGCGCATGCGCAGTAGGATCCTGTGCCATATTGGAATGAGGTTATGACCGACCAGTCGGACGGAGGTGCAGCATCTAAAATCAACTTTATAAAACTCTAATCAGGTGAGATTCACACTTGTGATTAATATCTTAGGTAGAGCTAAAGCTGCCCTAACGAATTAATATAATTTAATTACTGTGTGCAGCATATGCGTCTTTTTTCCCTCTGCCAAAGCTGCTGGTTATGGCTCAGTCGGGTCTAAGCGCTCCTGCGTTTCGGTAACTTGGAGGGGCAAAGCGCATCGCATCAAGGCTGCCCGACACATTGCTCATCATACACTCATCTTAGCAGTTTGACTAGAGAATAGGCAGTTGAAATTAAAACCACTGTTTTCTCTCTATCTTGCTTTTGGAAATCGTTATTGCATTAAAGTTGAGATTGTCTACGCCATAGTGCCGATTGGAATAAAGTGGCCGTAAATAAATGCAGTGTTAACGTTAGTCATAGGAAACTGTTCCAACCTGAAGCCCATGTTTCTCCGAATAGGAAATTTTACTGCGCACCCAAACTGCGGTTCGCTCTGAATGGCTTGCGAATGTGTTTAGGTTTCTGGATTATTGTAATGAGATGTCATTGTGTGTTGACGACCAAACATTTGAAGTTGTCATGAACTAAGTTGACAAGTGCTGAGTTTTTCAATATAGCGCAAAACATTTTTTCCACTAACATTTCAATGAGTGATTCGCGTGGACACGGAAGTTGTCCAGGCACGGATAAACAGATAATAGCGATGTGCCGCGTCGTACTGTGGAGTTTAACCCGAAAGATATGGTACTTCCGCCGGCAATTTACAGCCAAGGTCACCGTTTTTTAAAATCTTTTTGTTTTGGCATTTTCTTCTCGACCCCTCCCAGATTACAATAAAAACAATAGTAAGATGGGGTCCTTGTGCAGTTGAGCTCAGTGAGGTTAGTATGTGAGTGTGATCCATGTCCAGGCAGCTGGGCGTTTGGACTTAATTATGGAAACTAAGGTTGTGGGTCATGCCCACCCCCCTCTTTTAATCACTTTATTGGCTCCTTTTTTGAATATTTAAATGACTCTGGGACTGCATGCCTCCATGGTTGGGGGTTTGAATCCCACCTTGGCTCTGTGTGTGTGGAGTGTGTGCCTTGTCCTGCAGTTGCACAGGTTTTTCCTTTAGTCCAAAAACAAGTGGTTAGTTGAATCGGTGTCTCTAAATTGGCAGTTGTGTGTGATTTATATGATTGTCTGTGCATGTGCGTATGCTATGCAGAAATTCTGTGCCCCCAGACAAAATGTCAAGTGCTGGGCCCTCTCAATCTCCTATGGTATCCGTTAGACTGGCATCCTATCCAGGATGCCCACTGACTCGTGCCCTCTGCATTCTGGGCTAAGCTGCTAGCTCACTTTGAGTCTGTATTGGATGAGTGGAAACACACTGATATTGCTGCGATACTTTTATGGATTATAATTGGCTAAGTAATACAAGAAAGCATTATGTAGGTTTTAAAACTACACCGCATGTCTGTTATCTGTGAATGATTTTATTACTGTCTTCAGCAGCTCAAATTTATGTGATTTAGAGGTCAGGTATTTATGGTAAATGCACTCTCAAAGCTAATTGAATATTCTTATTTAACCAACAGTCATTCAGCTCAGTCACTGGCCTGTTCATGTGCTAAAATGAAAAGTTAACATTTCCAGTCTGTTTTGATTTTTTTGTTTATATGGCTTATTCTAAACTTCAGTGACGTTTGAGGAATTGGTTGGTTGTCAGTCTTTTTTACGTCTTCCTGTACTCCCCGACCTGGTGTGTGTATGTGCTGTGTACGACTAAGTGTAGTCTCTGTCAGTTGGGGGAAGTCATTACACTTCCTGTTGCTGAATTTTTGTCATAGAAGTAGTTTACGGCTGGGATGTCTTTTCTGCCGTGGAATGTGCTGGGGCTTACAGGAACTTCTCCTCTGTGTGGTTGACCAATGGATTGTTTGTAAGGGAAAAGTCAAGTCCCTCCCACCGGTTGTCTGCTCTCGCAAGCAGAGCTTCCTGTGTATTTATTGACGGACTCCGGGCTGCTGGTGAGCCGGTGCATCCCACTGTGGTTCTCGTATTGCAGTTTGAATTTGGGGCGGCAGCAGTTATCAGCGTTCTGCTGTTCGGCCCAAGTCTGTCTTCGGTAACTTCGGTCACTCCAAATGCATGTGTCACCTGTGTTGTGTGTAGGACTTGTATACTGCGTATCCTTCATCTTCTGCTCTGCTGTTCTCCTGCATCGCATGACCATCTCACATTACACTTATGAATGAATGTCTTTCCCCTTTTGGTCATTTTGAGGATTCAGAAACATTTGGCCTAGTCTGTCCTCCTTTCCCTTTCATTGGATCAGTAGCAGGGTTTGATATCTTCATATGGTTGTTCACACCTTGAGGACTCCATGTTTTCAGTGTTTTTAAATAATGACTTGGATTGTGAAAGTCAGTGGAATGTTCTCATGAAGTCATACATAACTGGTGCTATTGTAGTGATTTTGTCCTGGATTTGATGTGGTTTTCATGGTGCTGTTTGGCCAGTTCCCCAGGATCCATTCTTTAGGATCAGACTGGCTTCCAGTGTAAACTGTCAGCTGCTGAATTTCATGTTCTCCCCTTTGGGTATAGGTGTGTCCATGTGGGGTATTTAACCTGCTTAATGAGTGAGTTTCAGTTTTTATAAATATGTTTTATCCTGGGGCGTGGGTTGGGCTGTCTTTTGCCTAATTTTATTGGATCTAGGTCTTGCACATTCAAACTCAATAGCCAGCTTCCACCACAAAGACACTTATGACTCTTTGATCATAATCTCTCCTCTTTTTTTAAGTGTATTCAGTCATCTTCTTTTTCATCCTTCCTTCCAAACTTTAATTTTTTTACTTGGAGAGATTTCAAACAGCTCTTAGGTTCTGGATGTAGACAGAGCAGGATTTACTTGCCCCTATAACGGTAGGTGTGTTTGTCAGTGTTTGGTAAGTCTGTGTGCAAGGCAAATCTTTATGGGAAAATGCTTTGAGAGAGTTTGGAAGTTTTCTTGGTTTTGCACGAAAAATGAAGGTAGAGAAGGTGTTTCAGAGCAGGCTAACACAGTGAGATGGCTCTCAGCTCATGGGGTGTTTCTCAGAGGTGTCTGCTGTTGGGTTTCCACTCTCCGCTGTCAAACTTTCCCTAAGGTCTGTCATTTTTGTCACACAGATATGTATGTATTTCCTTGGAAGTGGGCTGGGGCTCGGCCTTCAGCCAGGTTTTGGGTGGAGGGCACTTGTGAGTCGTTTCAGCTCTTGCTGAGCTGACAGTTCTACCCATCCTTTAATACTGCTGGATATTTTTACTGGAGTGATTCAGATGCCTGAAGGTTGCCGGTATTCCTGTACCTTTAAGATGAGCCTCCCCTTTAAAAGCAGTGTTCATTTCTCACCCGGCCAAATACAAAGCTGCTAGTGAACAATGAGACGTATGTAACCACTCCAGTGAGAGAGAATTCATTGATGCCCAGATCTGGGGTGTCCATAATTTGTCCTCGAACAAAGAACAACAAAATACAGCCACTGGGAGAGAGAGGCAGGGCGATGAAGAATAGAGGACAGTTTCACCCTTAAAAAAGGTGGGAGAGGCAAGTCTGTAGTAGGATGCTTCAAGTCTGTAGTAGGATGCCGTCAACTTCATGTTTTCTCCCCACTTTACTGCAGGTGGACTGTGGAGCAGAAGAAAGATTTCAGGGTTCCTGCTTGTTATCCATCATGCATTGCGGTCTTCTGGAGGCTGGTGAGATGACTTTTCTGTTTTTATGTTTCAAATGAAGCAAATGAGATATTCTGTAAGAGGTTGCAGTGTGAAAAGTTGATGCATAAGGCGTGATACGGAGGACTGTTACATGGGTAACATGCGAGTATGTTTCAGAGGGGGCTTCGGGGCAGGAGGACTCCGACTTCAACTGGGAGGAGTACCTTGAGGAGCAGGGGGCTTCTGCTGTGCCCCACTCTGCCTTCAAACATGTGAGTCTGACAAACTGTGACACACTTTATTTGCTGATGAATGTATTATTATTTTTTTTATTTGTCCCTTGGTCACAGGGGTGGTGATAATGCAGCTTTTGGGCCCCAACCTAGATGACTCTAATTATGTTCTGTATTTTTTAGGGCCCCTGTCGCTCAGGAGCTCTAGGAACCATCCCAAGTTACCCCCCCCCCCCCCCCGCCCCTTCACGGTGCCCCAGTGTTTACATAGTAGAATGGATTTTTTGTTCCCTGCAGACCATAATTCCAGATAAATTGAAGGATGTTGGGGTGGGGGGTTATTGACGCAGCAGTACTGGCATCACCTGACTTTTCTATAGGAGTAATGTGGCCCACCCACCCACAGGTGGACCTGGGCTTGCAGAGCGGACTCAGCCCTGGCATGAAGCTGGAGGTGCCCCTGCGTGACTCACCTGACACCTACTGGGTGGCCACCATCATCACCACCTGTGGCCAGCTGCTGCTGCTGCGCTACGAGGGCTTCCATGATGACCGCAGAGCCGACTTCTGGTGTGACATCATGACCGCAGACCTGCATCCCATTGGCTGGAGCCAGCAGCAGGGCCGGCCTATGAAGCCACCAGAGGGTGAGAGACAGAAAGGGAGGCTTTTTGTGATTTCCTGTATCATTTCCTCATTGCTTATAGTGCTCTGGTTGCTTTTTCTTTTATCCTGTTACCCTCAGGCATCCGAGAGAAACATGAGCACTGGGAGACTCTTCTGGAAAATGTGCTGTCAGAAACCTGCAGCGTGCCTGCCAACCTGCTGGATGGGGTGAGCTCTGGTTGGGTGCCCCGTGGGACTGTTGGGTAATGATGTGGACTAGACAGGTTGAGCACTATATGGCACTGGCGAAGATACTGGACAGGCTGAACTGATGTGAAAGACAGGCTTTTATACAGCTGGGTTTGAGAGATGTTCTGCTTTGTTTGGGAGTGGTATGTCAGATGAATATTTGCACTGATTAAAAGAATAGTACTTGTGACAGACTTGGAGTTTAGAGTCAAAGCATTTGAACAAATAAGGATCCATTAAGTTAAACAAAGGCAGACAACCACTAGTAAGTTATGGAATGAAAGGATAAAGCAGACTTGCACATCCATGCCTTCACTGTTCCTGACAGCCTCACCGTGGGAAGAACCCACTGGATCTGCTGGCACCGGGGGCCAGTGTGGAGCTGCAGGACCCGGCTGATACCGCTGCTGCCTGGGGGGCTACCATCGAGGACAATGTGGGGGGGAGGCTGTGCCTCCGTTATGCCGGCACCGAGGAGATGGCCCCCACACATGGCAAGATCTGGCTCTTTTACCTGCACCCGCTGCTGCACCCACCCGGCTGGGCCAAAGAGCATGGCTGCGTCCTCATTCCCCCTGCTGGTCAGTGTCGGTATTACACTGCAGTCAGAATATAAGCAAATAAATTATTTACTCCATATGTCTGGGCATTTACTGCCTTTTGTTTACATGTGAGTTTATGCTGTTTGTTTGTAGAGTGTATTTGTTTATTCCAAACATGTGTGTGCTTAGCAGACGGTGTGTCTTTACAGTGTATAGTGAATGCCCAGTGTGCCCTCTTCTACCCCCTGCCTGTTCAGCTTATTCTGCTGTATTGCAGTTATCCGAGACGTTCAGAGCGATGCAAAGTGGGATGAAGTTCGGCAGCAACTCAGCAACCAGATGCATGATGGGACGGTGGTTGAGGGGCTGAAGCTCAAGGTTTGTGCCCTTGGCAGACCTGCTATGTCGACCTGACCAGTGCTTTTTAAGAGCCGGATCCAACTGTCTGGTCACATTTCTGCTCATTTCTGTGTGAAACTACACCAACTCCCAGAGTGTGTCTTTTCATATAAGCAAAGATTTATGGGTAACAGAGGCTTGGGTGTGCTGAGCTATAAGAACAAAATTCAATGTTTTATGATAAAAACAGTGATCTAACAGATGCTGGCTATAGCTAGGGGTGGACAATATGGCAAAAACATCATATCGCAATTTTTTTCAGGCAGGATTATTATCCAAGATCTAATCGCAATTCTTTTTCATGTTGGTTTTTAAGAATGTTTTTCAATTTACTGAAGAGTACAACCAAATGATTTCCCCTATTTTTTTTAAATATAGCACTATAAGTTAACTAACCCTAAAAGAAAAAATACTATGTTGAATTCTTATTATGGACCAAATCTTCCATATCATCCATACCACTATGTTGCCAAATAGGGAATGCGTTGCATGTTGCCCATTGCGTGTTGAGACAAGGGCACAAAAGGGAAGAGAGGAAGAAATCTAAGATTTGACTGACAAAGCAACTTTAGATGCGTGTATGAGCCATAGAACTGCAACTCATAGAATGTACACCGTGTTGTACAATATTGTCAAATCTCACACCCGTAAGAATATCATTGGTGAGTGTAGGATAAAAAGACTTCTCTCTGTCTTTATTTTGACCTGCTCTTTGTTTGCCTTGCGGGTGTTGCCGTCTTGTGTCTGGTGATCATGTGGTATGTTTCTTTTACCTGTTTCTTAGTGCTACCAGCTCAGATTCCTATTGTGTTCCTTTATAAACTCCATTAATGTTGATTAGGACCTAAAGGAAGTAAAGTGTGAATCTAGTTTTAGTGATAAATGCGCATTTCTTACATTTCTGGTCTTTGTTTGCGTCCAGGATAAGATAGCCACCTCGGTCCATTGCTTCACTGAGGGGATGAAGCTAGAAGCTATAGATCCAACTGCTCCTTTCCACATCTGCCCCGCCACCGTCACCAAGGTAACCTCACATCTGCATTTGTTTCCTTCACTCACAAGTGCAGCCTGGCCAGAAGGTCTTCTAGATGTTCGCAGTCATCTTGACATTTTAATAGTAGGAACAAAAAAGGTCCACAACAGCTGAACTAGTGGATATATGGCAGGAGACGGACAGCATGATCGAGGGCAGAGCATCACCTGCCTCTTCTCTCCAGGTGTTTACCAGCATGTACTTTCTGGTGGAGATGGATGATCTGAGGGGGAATTCCAGTGGGAGAGGTGGAGGCCCCGCCTTCCTGTGCCACCGGGACAGCGTAGGGATTCTGCCCGTGCAGTGGAGTCTCAAGAACGGCATCCAGCTAACCTCCCCACCAGGTGAAGGATCCAGCTCAGAGGGCCCATCCCATCTGCCTCAGCAGAACCCACTGGAGAGCTTTAGAGGGTGGTTCAGAAATAGCTGCACATGACACACTTCATACAGGTGCACTGTCACCGTTATGGAGTGAGCAGTGGACAGCGTAACTGAAAATAGCTGTGAGATAAAGACACAAAAACATTGTTTGTAGACTATTGTGTGCAGGTTTGGTAACCTCGCCTTAAAAAGGACATTGCTGCCTTAGAACGGGTTCTACGTAGGGCTGCAAGAATGATTCCTGGTCTTAGAGGAATGTCTTATGAGGAGAGGTTAGCTGAGCTGAATCTGTTCAGCCTCAAGCAGGGGGGGAAATGATTCAGGTATATAAGATTCTAGCAGGTCTGGATGCTGTGAAACCAAATAGTCACTTCAATATTACTTTAGATACAATAACTCATGGCCATAGGTGGAAATTAGCGGGAGGACATTTTAAACTTGATTTTAGAAAGCACTTCTTTACACAGTGTGCAGTTAGAGTATCTGAGCTAGATAAGATTTTAATAACTTATACTTAATAAGTTGAATTCTAATAGCTAATAGCTGAATTCTCCCCAAACAAGGTTGATGGGCAGAATGCCACCCCCCCCCCCCCCCACAGATAGCTGTGAGGTCTTGGTTAGTCCTGCTTTAAAGGGAAGTCGGTTGTGGTATTTAAATTAACTACAGTTTGTGCAGCAGCATAATGAACTAAATGGAGAAGCTTTACCCCTTGCAGGAAGCTATGGTTTAGCCGTTAATCTGAATCCACGTTCGGTCATTTTCACTGCAGCCGTGCCTCTGCCTGCTGAATCCACTAGTGTGTCTCCATGTAGGGCACCAAGGGCAGGACTTTGACTGGGCTGACTACCTGAAACAATGTGGGACAGAGGCTGCACCCCAGCACTGCTTTCCATTGGTGAGTCGGAGACGCTGAATGCTAGACTGACTCGCTATCCCACTCTGGTGTGATGTTGTAGATGGTGGGATAACACAGTCATAAATCTATGACCAGTGGAACACAGAATTGTTCTTGCGTGTGGCATTAGGTCTCATGCCAGTTATTTGTTATTAATGTAATTGGTTTCTGTATCTCCTGAGGAATGATGGAAGATACTTGCACGTTGTGCACATGCATCCCAGCTGATATGGCGTCTTGACTGTTTCCGTCTTTCAGAAGTCATCGGTTCATAGCTTCAGGGAATCCATGAAACTGGAGGCTGTGAACCCTCTATCCCCCGAGCACATCCACGTGGCAACCGTCGTCAAGGTCAGAGGTCAATACATCTGGCTGAACCTGGAAGGTAGGAGCTCTCTCTCTCTCTCACTCACTCACTCACTCACTCACTCACTAACTATGTCTTTCACTCTCTCTCCCGATGCAAAGGGGGGGGAGTTAATTAAGGGAATACAAGTAAATGAAAGGGCTGTGGTCTCCAATTCTGGAGGAAACACCTCTTCCCTCAGACAAGCAATTTCAGCAGTGTTACAACTCGGTTCATATATACTTCAATGTGATTCAGTTTTTACTGTGTACTATTTAAATCAGTTTAACAAAAGTATTCTACTTTTGAAGTAAAAAAAAAAAATCTCACTGAGACTCCAGGTAACAGAAGTTGAAAAAATGATAATAAGGCAGGTGCCGTTAATGACATGATGGCTTTATCATGATGCCTGTGTAGCCCAAATGGGGATTCTTAGTGATGTATCTGTATCATACACGTGGAGGACAGGAAACAGAATCTTGCTGAGGAGCTGAGGAATTCAGCAATGTTTTTTACTGTGGCTGAACCTTCCTGTCTATCTATACATCTATACTCCTTACAGACAACTGGCACAGTGGCCTGAACCACTGGAGCTGAACTTATCGGAATATCCAAGATTAACGTGATGTTACATTTCAATGTATTTTTGTCCAGGGCTAAAGGAATCTCTTCCAGAGGTGATCGTCCATGTTGACTCCATGGACATCTTCCCGGTCAGCTGGTGTGAGACCAACGGGTACCCTCTCCAGCACACCCGCAAACCCAAAGGTGGGTGTCTGAAACAGAAGAACCCCTCCTGATCTAAGATCTCCCACTCCAGCACCTCACGTTTCACCTTCTCTTTTCAGTTACTTCTGCCAAGCTGATAAAAATGATCTGCACTGTGTCAGAATTGCTCCTGGGGGCCTGCTTTTCAGCAAACGACAATCTAGCTATAAGTGAAATGAAAGTGCGCCTCGTGTGGTCGGAGGACTCCCGACCAAGCGGTCCTGAAGGCTGTGATCATTACAGAGCATTTTTCTCTCTCTCTGCAGCTTTGAGGCAGAGGAGAGTGGCTGTGGTTCAACCGGAGAAGCAGTAAGTATGAGGCCCAGTTATGGTGGCTGTAGTAGCTTTGGTGCCCCCACCCCTCCCCCTTACCTGTCGTTTTTGCTCCTCTTCGCAGCAGGGATCTACCCAAAGCCTCACCTTCAAATGCACCTAGGCATCAGGCACGCAGCCAGTCGGAGTATGGTGTGTGCCAGCCGTCCGTATGCCTGCCCGTGCAGAGGCCTGTATGCTGTTCGGTCTTACCATGTTTTTCTCTGCCCCAGTGGGACAGAACAATGGGAAGTACAGCTGCCCCAAGATCTACTTTAACCATCGGTGCTTTTCTGGGCCTTACCTGAATAAGGGCCGCATCGCCGAGCTGCCACAGTGCGTGGGACCCGGCAGCTGCATCCTGGTGCTGAAAGAGGTGAGAGCACGTTTGGGCCAATCTGGGCCGGTCCGCCTACGCTGCATCTCTGAGACTGCCCTCTCCATCACTCCCTCCTTCCTTTCTCGCGATGGTCGTAGGTGCTGACGCTCTTAATCAACACAGCCTACAAGCCCAGCCGGGTGCTGAGGGAGCTGCAGCTGAATGAGGACATGCGATGGCAGGGGCACCGAGAGACACTCAAGGCCAAGTGAGACAATGTTGCGGTTCTCTGGGTTTGACTGACTTCTTATAGACTTCAGAGATTGAAATGAATAAGTAAGTCTGATATCTGTACAACTCCTGTGGCTCAACAACTAGAGCATCACGATAGTAATGCAAAGGTCATGGGTTCAAATCCCAGGGAGCACAGATAAATGATAACCCTTTTCTATACTGTAAGTCGGTGTAAGTAAAAATTACAAATAAATTAATATGATGAATCTGTCTTGGACCTGTACTTCACGATTGAACATTTTTTACATGCCTGCGCCCACCCCCCCAAAAAAAAGAAAATGGTTCAGATTCATGTTTCTGATCTCACCTGAGATTCATGGATCTGTCGCCCAGGTACAGGGGCAAGAGCTACCGGGCCACAGTGGAACTGGTGAGGACAGCAGACCAAGTGGCCGAGTTCTGCCGGAGGACCTGCATGAAGCTGGAGTGTTGCCCCAATTTGTTTGGACCGCTCATGGTTCTGGAGCGCTGCTCGGAAAACTGCGCCGTTCTCACCAAGACCAAATACAGTCAGTGACTCGAGGCAGATTGCCTTTCTCTCTCCTGTTATGCCTTATCTCAGTCTCGCATGCATTTTCTCTTCCTGTGTACGTGTGTCTGCAGCACATTACTACGGTAAGAAGAGCAAGCAGGTGGGGCGGCCACCAGGGGGGCAAACCAATCTGAAGGGTGGAGTGAAGAGAGCAGGAAGACGGAGGAAGAAGAGGAAGCACTGCTTCGTTCACAAGAAGAAACGGTCGTCGGCTTCTGTTGACACGTCCCCGGGTGGCTCTCCGCAGGTGTCCTACAAGCACACACATGAACCAGTGTCTCAGATATAGCTTACCGCTCCACACTTAAGCATAATGTTGGACTCTGCCCCCACAGGCTAGTGGTGAAGATGAGGATGACCTGGATGAGGAAGATTCCCTGAGCGAAGACTCCAGTTCAGAGCTGCTGGATGACTCTGAGCAGTCAGAGTGGAAATCCCAGCCCGTGTCGCCAACGCCAGTGGAGACGCCTCCCCACCGACGCCGTCGTCGGCAGACCCACTCACCGGCTTGCTTCCACGATGAGAACCAGCCCCCTGTTACAAAGGTATTGACTCTTTCCGCTATACCAAGACTCACCAACCTTTGTGAAACTGAGAGCTACTTCACACGTACTGAGCCATACGAAGGGTTTACCGGTTTGAAACACCCTCCTAAACTTATCTAAACTTCATGTATAATAAACACGTTTTAAATGTTTTTTTAATGATATTGTTATTTTCATATCTGTATAAATGCATATCTGATTAAAGAAGAATAGCAACAGGATAAAATTACATTTTATGAAATTATTTTGATGCTGCTCACTCGTGAGTTGTGCTATTTTTAGAACAGGTTCGCAGGTGACTCATGTGGTCCTTGGGGGCATGTTTGTGACCCCTGCCCTATACAGTAACCCCTTCACATTCATGAGGGTTACGTTCCAAAGATCCCCGGAATGTGAAAATTTGCAAATACTTGGGCACCCCTAACCTTTCAAAGTCACAATTAAAGTGTAAGTAATATATTCTAGATGTCAAGAGCTTGGGTGAAATTATATCAGTCTAATTTTGTGTGTATTTAGTATATGGGAAGGGCCTCTTATGGCTGGGGGGGGGGCCCTCTATGATCCAGGGGAAGGCCCAGGGCCCAGGGGCGGTGGCCCTGCCTGCCCCCCCCTTAGTGCCGTCGGTTGAGTGCCATTTGCACTCTAGCTTGCGTGATCACTGTTTGAGTTCACGTGTGTGATCAGAGTACCAGGGGGAAGGTTTCTTATCGCTATGCTTTATCTTCTTAAGTGGAGCTACAAGATCTAGGGTGCTTTATTTTGAAATCATTAGTTAATTTCCATTTGTGGAAGAAAGCCTTTTTCCTCCTGAATTTATTCTTAATTTCCGTAGTAAAGCACATTGGTTGCAGTTTCCTAGATTTAGTTTTGCTGGAAACAGGTATGAAGTCCTCTTGCACTTGCAACAATGTGCTTTTAAAAAATCCCCATGCCTCTTCAACAGTTTAGCTGTTTAACTCCATCCAGTTTCTAGTTTCAGTCTCATACCATTAAAGTTAGCCTTCCTGACATTGTATATGTGAAGGTGTTACTGTAGTGCATCACTTTACCTGTAGTGTAGTTGAGGTGCATTTGTTTGTAAATGTGCTGTACCCTAATAATATTTCTGTAGTTCCAGGCCTGGTATTGTGGGATAGGGAGTTTTAGTACCAAGTCCTTCAGACCCATCAGAGCTTCACATTATGTCCTGCTGGCTTAGTCTCTCTTGAAAACCATGAAAGCTCCTCACATGTCTGTCAATCTCTTTGTGTCTGGCTGCCCCCAGAAGCTGTGTTTGGACAGCAGCCCCTTGGAATGGAGTGTGGCAGATGTGGTGCGTTTCATTCGCACTACTGACTGTGCTCCACTTGCACGCATCTTCTTTGATCAGGTACCGAAAATGGCATTTAGTTAACTGGTTCTGTATGTAGCTATTCTTATTTACCGATTAATTCTCATAAATAAGCTAACCCTCTACCCATGTTTGACTACATGCGACTTTCTCTACCATGATCTCCTTCTGCACGACTGGTGACCAAGGTTGTATATGTCTCCAGGAGATTGACGGGCAGGCCCTGCTGCTGCTGACGCTCTCTACTGTGCAGGAGTGCATGGACCTGAAGCTGGGGCCGGCAGTCAGGTTATGCCACCACATCGAACGGGTCAAGCTAGCCTTCTACCAGCAGTATGCAGACTGAGGTGCCCTCAGAGCCGCACAGCCTGGCTATGTGGCCTGCCCTGCCAAGCCCCACATCCACTCCAGCTGGAGTCATTGTCGTTTGATGTATATTGTAAATATTTTATTTGCCATTTTGCATTACCACAAACACTTGTTGAGGTGCGGCGGGGATGATTTGGCGGCCATTAGCTGACAGATGCAATAATGCAAGCACAAGAAGACTGGGGAACAGGATCTCGCTTCCTGGATCATTATTTGTACTATGTGGAGTATACATTGGGGTGTGTGTGTATATGTGTGTGTGTGTTGAAGAGTTAAAGAACTTCCTCACATAGGAAAAAGCAGTACACCTAAAATTGTTGGTTTTGATTTTTGCACAGCCATTAGATATAGTGACTGAAAAAGTACTTCCGACATCATGCTTGCCGGTTAACATAATCTGACGGACTCTATTGCTTTAATCATAAATTACAGTGCTTGCCCAGATTGCTTCAGTAAACATCTCGACAAAAGTGTTGCTTTTTAATAAAAATGTTTGCTAAGCAAATCAATAATTATCTTCACTCCATCAGTCATGTTTTTGCCTGTTACTTTGGCATTATTGGAAATTTTTGATTGTAGTACTATTTTAGCCTTAAATATTTGCTTTCATAGTGAAATTTACATGGCTTCTTGCCAGTAAGATTTCTTGCTAATATCTTGCATGTCAGAGGGCCAGTTTTGGAATGGCCATGAATGTGGTAGTGTTCACCTACATTACGCACTTCTGATTTTTAATGATGCATGACCGACACCAGGAACGTATTTGCCTTTGCATTAAACCTGAATCTCATAAAACAGTGGTTCCCAGACCCTTCCTTGAAGAGACATTCAAATCATTTGCTCTTTTCAAGCCCATAATTAATCTTCAAAAATGTTTGGAATGACAGGGGGAGAGGTCTGGGTCCTGTATCAGGCCGCTAGCCTGTCGCGACTTCGGAATAGGCTGGCTTCTATTTTCGCTGAAGCTCTTTTTTAAAACTTCCGGAGCTATATTGCATTTTTTGTATAGTGAGTTGACCTGCCTAGTATTTCAGCTGGAAGTTCTTGAGATAATCCAATCTGAGGACAGGAACTGGGTGTAGACTGGGCCTGGCTCTGGAATGTGAAATATCCCCGCAGTTGTGCCTTCTTCCAAAGATGAGCTGTGTATATTAACAGGTGCTCTGGAAATGGAAAAGGCAGAAAATGGAAAATGTAGATTTGAAGAGCCTCTCTGACTCCTCAAGCCTGTCATATGATATCAGTACTGAAAAATCCTCAACAGCTATATGAATTGTTGAATTTAGTGCCATGTAAATTTATTTGTATGTACATTTGTGGAAAATGGGTATTTAAAAGCTAACACTTGCAAGGCGGGCTAAAGTATTTTCAAATTAACATTAATATGTGGTTCTTTTTTTTTACTTTTAATTTTAAGACGTGCTCAATCTGTATATAGTGTGGAAGGAACAATGTGAGACATTGTCATGCTGTACCTGTCTGGCAGAAGTGTGAACTAACTGCATACAAGTAAAATCTCTTTGCTCATTTTTGTCACTGTTGTTTGGATAAAGCATGTGTGTTGCATTTAAAGCCGGAATGTGGGAGACCAAGGTTATCAATGAAATACCACACCATGCCACCCTTTTGTTACAGGTCCCGCTTTGGAAATTTCCCTGATTTATTTTTATTTATTTATTTTAAAATTATGTTTAATAACAGAGATGTTCTATTCCCACAAATTTTAAGCTTTGGTTAAGAACATTGTTAGAGGGTGAATGGGGCTTTTGGTTAAATTTAATTTTCTGTAAATTAAATATTAATTTCATGGATAAATAAAAGATGAGTCTATTCACCCATTATTAAAATCCTTGCTGTTCTGCATATCAGTTGTTGACCACAACAACCGAAAACCCAGATGTTTTTTGAGTGGAAGAAAGGTCTGGTTCATGCAGCATTAGGGTTGGATTGCTGACTGTAGTTGTTAAGTTAATGTTAAATTTTGTGGCTTATTTTCACAGAATTGTATCAGATAATCCATCCATTCATCTTCCAACTGCGTAAGCTGGTCAGCCTCATAGGCAGGGGCCTAGGGCAGTGATACACCCTGAACAGGATGCCCATCTTTGAACAGTACCAGTCAGAAGTCTGGACACACCTGCTTTTAATAAATTTGTCTCTATTTTAGCTATACTATTCACCATTTACTAAAAGGTCTTGATGCCATGAAGCAATACATCACAAATATTTTCAGGACTAAGAGAGGTGTTCACTATCTAAATTTTCTCAAATTTTAGACTTCAAAATAGCCCCCTTTTGCGTCAATAACAGCATTGTATACTCTTATCATTCTTTCAACCAGCTTCCAGATGTAGCCACCTGGAATGCTTCTCCAACACTCCTGAAGGAATCTCCACAAGTTCTGGGCACAAGTTGACTACCTTCTTCTTACTCTTCCACCCAATTCATTTAGGTCGGGGTCTTCTATCACAGCACTCCATCTTTTTCCTTGTTCACAACGTAATACAATACTTATATAACCTTGAGGTGTGCTTAGGGTCACGATCTTGATGAGAAATCAAATGCTTTTTAGTTGGTGTGTCCAGACCTTTGACTGGTACTGTTGGTATAAAAATGTAGGTCTGTTTCACTGTAGTGATTTTAATTGCTTGGCTAAAAGACCTTATTATTAAGTCCTTATTGATAATGTGATTGGAGTTACTCCCTTTGGTAAGAGACACTTGTGTCTGAATCTTGGCAGGGCTTCCACTTGGAGGAGTTTCTACAAACTTGCATAATCTGTTCCCAATGATCCTTTACCCTGAAAATAATCTGATATTAGCGGTCTCTTTAGAAAGTGTCAGCCTGCTGTTTACCTACTGAGGCGATTGGTCCTGTTACCTGCTATGTGGATAGCAAAGTCTGGTCAGTCCCCAAATGTTTGTTTTGATCTGCTACCAACAGCCATGTCCGGATATTTTTTTAAATCTACAGCCCTGTCTTGCTGCAAGAAAGTACTGGAAGCATGCAACTAGCATGAAGTTGCCCCCTCGTATGTTTTGATTTTAACCAAACTGGTCTCGGTCATTTGTGCCATTTAAATTTTTCTTTGTCCTGCTTTAGTTTCTGAGACATACAGACACAAATGCTTGTTTATATGGTCACGTGACAACACAAAGTGACCTTGGCCCCACATTTGCGTCTGATTTTCGATGGACCAGTATTAATCGTTTCTGCCCATTTATGCTGCTTTAGTTTGTGAGTTATAAATAGTTTACATTGTGACGTCACCACCGTGCGTCCCAGTCCAAATTCCACCCCCCTGTTGTGTGTTTCTCAACTGTTTGGCCAATGATGCAGTTTCAAGTTACCCTGCTGCAAGCGTTCACACCAACAAAATATATTTATGAATGTTTGACAAAGGTGTGCATTAATTGTACAAAAACATGAATATTGTTTTGTTAGCTTTTCAAGGTATATTTAGTTTGACATCAATGTTTTATCAACTGTTACCATGTATTTAGCTCTTTAGCTGCATGTTTGCTTAACCAGCATGATTTTAACAATTATTACAATGATAAATCAATAATATTAAGGATTTTACTTTAATGTTATGCTTTTAATTGCAGACCTATTTATATTGCATGTAATCCAGGCACACCTTTTTCCAAAACATTTGTAAACATCTTTTATTAATGTAAACGCTTACGCTGTGGAGCTGAATATACATTACTAATCTAACAAAACATGTGAAACATCCACATGTGTTCGTACACATTTTATTTATGGTAATAAATAAAACGCCTCTGTGAAGCTAAATATGAACAATTATGTCAGTGAAACAATTCTTATCCTACTAAATATACGGTTATAATCACTGCGGTCAAGATATCCTCCCCTTGGCGACACATGGTCAAATCATCTGCGCTTAAAATGCATGGTGCACACATAGACTCATGTTTTGTCCACACGTACACAGATATTTTTTAAAACGGTGTTTTCCCTCTTCCATTTTAACAAAAAACCCTGTCCACACGAACATTGTCTTCTAAAAGGTTTCCGTCCACATGGAACCGCTAAAATGCGCTGTCAAGAGCATGCCATCCACAGCACCAATGCACTGAAGGATACCATGGGCTCGGTAAAACCCTGCTACAAGTTCCTCTCCTTTGGCCTCAGTGACAGGTAACTATGTACAGAGAGCCCAAGTGGACTGTGATTGCTTCGCATATTTGCCATACTATTTTTGAAACCACCTGTTTTGACAATCCGAATGCATTTGCTGTTTTGCGTAATCTCCCCTCGTCTGCTAAATAGTAGAGAGTGCAGGCAACTTTTTTGATTACACCGACGGGCGACCTCATTACGGTCGTCTGCCCCTTGATGTGTGGGCGAAGCAGCTCACTCAGAGACAACAGCAATGTCCTGGACATACAAAAATTATCCCGCCATTCGTCAGCAACAACCACTTCATTCTCAAAGTTGTCCCACCAATTAGACTAGGTCTCATCCAAAACCGGCGATGCCGGCGGCAGGGTCTGTACCGTGGGAGTGTCGCATATAACAGTGACTTCCACTTTCCGACGGCTGTGTTGACCAAAATAATGCGAGAGTGACTCAACATTTAGCTGTACACATGTAAGAAGTTCTGTCAGCAAGGTTAGCACAAGCACTATTTCGGCTAAGTCCGCCATTGCTCAAACTCGCCTAATGTATACAGCAAACAGCGCACGCTCTGATGTTAAACAAAGTGGACAACGGCGCACAATCTGACATTTCGAGCCAAAAACTCTGTTTTCCTGTCTACATGCCGACGCTGAAAGCGGAGTTTCTTAAAATCTTCACCCTGGATGGAGTTTTGCAAAAGCTCCATTTTCAGTGACCTGAGACGCCGTTTATATGTGGACAAAAGCCCATTGTAAGCACATCTGAATATTTGGGGGGGGGGCGTGTTCCCCCAATGTTCGATTGCGCCCCTCTGAGTCGGAAGTCTGATAAATGTAATGAAAAACGCCACTTCCTGTACTATAGCATAATAATAATATTATAATAATGTTGACTAGTACAGTGAGCAATATCGCTGATTTCTTTCATAAACACCGCATGCACCCCCTCCCTATGCAGCGAGGCCATTTAATGGTTAAAGTTGTGCTTGAACTGATGTTAAAATGACCTCTCGTTTCCTGTTGAGCTTGAAAGTGCCCTGTTGATGTTGAAGGTGCACTGTTAAACTCTGCTGTTCAATAGTATGTTCTGTACCTGGTTGATATGCATGTATTGTACATGTATATTGCTGAGAAGCGTGACTGCACCTTCATGTTTCATACATATTTCTTAGAGGAAAGTGCGGCATTCTATTACATTCTTTTATAAAATGAATATGCAAGCCATGGCAGCTATATTTAATAAATGTTTTGTCAAAATAAAACTACTCTGAGTCATTTCATTTTTGAAAGATTGGATGCACAGATATGTATATAAACAGGGTGACCATACAATTCATGTCAGGAAAGAGCTGGAACAGGATTTGAAATGAAACAAAAGTTTTAATGGAAAGTGTGCTTTGTGCTTGTCATGTGTAAATGAGTTACTCTAATATTATCATTGTGCAGGTGTCACCAATGTTGTTTCATACATTAAAAGATTCATCCACAGTTTTTCCAGTTGTTATGCCTTAGCTGTGATTGGGTTCAGTATTGGCTGATTAATTATATAGAAAGCAAGTGAATGTTTTTGACACAGTGGTCAGTCCTAACATAAATACGATTTTGAAAAACTCACTTCATACACAGGAGTCACAGCCATGATCAATTTCAAGGGGAAAGTGTAACTAACTTAGCGACATGATACAAAATATTTTGGTTTTTAAAAACCTGCAAAAGTTTAAATGTAGGTAAACTATTATCCGAATGCAAATTGTACACCATCATATATACAGTATGTGTGTTTTCTTCTATTGTTTCTAACGATGATAAAAATAGTATTATTTATTTAGAATATTTATAGTAATATTTATAATGTCTTTTCATAGACATTAGGGGGGACCTCCTTACCACCACTGATGTGCAGCATCCATTAAAATTTTTACAATGTCTCTTCAAAGTTCTGTGATACTGTGAGACTAATGCAATGAAGCGAAAATGACGTATGTCATGGATTTGTGGGCCTCGCTGCATAGGGAGGGGATGCACGCGGTGTGTATTATAGAAATCAGCGACACTGCTCACTGTACAGGTCAACATTATGGCATACAATGTTTTACTTGAGCCTCGGATAAAAATGACGGTGCAGCTGTGCAGACAGACAGCCTGTCATTGGGGGCTACATACGTATGGCAGCGTTAACTACGGAGTTATATAATTGACCTCTTCCGCCGAACAAACGTGATCTACCGTAATACACATGACATGAAACATAGCCTGCCGACTCTACACATCTCATTTCAACACAGGTAAACTTTCCTGACTCAGCCATGTTCCACCTTTTCACCGTGAGCGTGTGCCTCCGTGTGAAGCGCCCAATAGCGAAGTTTCACACAGGGGGTGTGGTTCTGTGATTTCGCTCTTTTTTGTGACTTTAAAATCTCAGAGAATATCTGACATTTCTCGCAAATTTGCAACTTATATCTGACTTTTTTCCTCGTAAATTTGTGGTGGTTTTTTTCTCGTATATTTGCCACTTTAAACTCAGAGAATATCCAACTTTTTCTTCTCATAAATTTACTACTTATATCTCAGAGGATTTCAGAGTTTTCTTTCTCGCAAATTTATGACTTTACAATATCAGAGAATATCCGAGTTTTTTTCTTGTAAATTTACATCTTTATATTTTATAATGATTGGTAATGCTTTTTATCAGTAGTTATGTA